ACACACATACATACACACACACACACACACACACACAATAAAACACACAAAGCAGTATGTACACACACATAATAACTGCGAAATAATCTGACGTCATAAGTCTTTAGTTTGAAGTAGTAATGCTTGTTGTACCAAAAACGTGTGTCCTATTGACTCCTTGATTATATTACTCTATTTATTGCAAACAACACACTGTTAGTCCCCGGTTTCGGATAGAAACTGCAATGATATTGTCTCTCTATCTGGGCCAAAACTTTTGATACCGCCCGTTTCTCACCAGGACGCAATAACGGCGTACAGTACATGTAAATCATAATATAAGGAGTGGCCCGCCGTGTGTGTTGTCAGTGTCAACAAGGGTTCGGTTCGTTCGAACTAATTCCTGAGTTCTCTCGCTATCTGCTTGGTGCAGATCGATATAGTACAGTGTTTGCAACCACATCACAAAACGGAATAAGCACTTGCTACTTTTGTTGCAGTTTTTAACTTGCCCAAATCGAAAAATATTCCATTGCTCTACCACCAGGCTGAACTGTATTCACACGCTAAAAGCAGTATATGTACGCTTGGTACAGGAACAATAGCAGATGGTACTTCCATTCGCAAAACCCGCAGTCAGCTTTGCCACTTCGATAAAATTGACGAGACAATTTTGATAGTACTCATATCATTCGTTTTGAACACTTAAACTTCCCCCTCCCCCTTCCCAAAAACCCGCAGTAAAGAGAACATTTTGGATTGAAATGGGAGGGGGGGCTAAAAGACACCAAACAGAATCAACATAAAACACTAAGGTGAAAACAAGTCAAAGTTCCATTTTCTTTAGAATTAAGGCTGTCCATTATATTGGTTCTTCTTATTTCCTGGTATTGTCTCATACTCGGTCTTAGATCTAGATAGTTGTGTACCTCGCTAAAATGGTTAATTTCGGACCTGGAAAAGAAACTCCCAAGTATGGTAAATACATACTCTGATTTGTGTTTTTGCCGCCAACCACTTCTCTTTTATACCACGTGACTGTAGCAGGAGGATTGGCCCGGAAGTTACAGGTCAAGGTCACTGTTTCACCAGGGTCAGCCTCCACCTTCATGCGGTAGTTGGTGTCTCGCTTTAGAACAGGAGCCATCTCGACAGGCGCTAGATGATGAATAGAAGTTCTTGTAAATGTTTTACGGCACATGCAACACAATGAGTCATATAAGAGCCAAAGATTGGAGATGTTACAAGACATTAACAAACATATAAAAAGGAGAGATAAGGACAAGAAATGTTTGATAGGTAACAAGGGGTAAATCACAACAGAGTATCCGTCAACTACCCACAGAGCAGAAGAGAAACTGTGATTGCATGTCATACCCGTACACATGTATATTATTATCAATTTGATATAGATGCTTATCCCTCAAAGAGACAAACTCCTCACCGCATCATCTTGAGCTTAAATTTAAAAAATGGCATTTTCCATAGTCTTGTCGGTGTACCCAAACTCGAGTGGAGTCCCGTGGTCTTGTGCAAAAAACACGTGAAAGAAATGTAATCGTATTTGTGTTCGATCTTCAGTGCCTTCATGGGCAGTTTCCCAGACACATAACCATTATCAAAAGGTCTCTTTTAGAAGCTCATTCGTCCAGGGTTCTAAGAGGTGTTATGACCCACCAGGCTGGCCAAGCACTTACGAGGCGCATGGAGGAGGGGTTTCTTTGTCCTGATTTCCCAAGGGGGAGAGAACACCAGTTGGGAATGCTCTCGCTCACCATTATCTCAGCCTTGGTAATTACTAATACCACATGGGTCACCCTGTATGACTTAAATCATGCCGATGGCAAGACAGAAAGACCATTTCAACCTATTCAAAATCAACATTTTCCTAGACCTGTGTATTATTCCTTTGGCACAAACTTGCCTCAGTCGTTCCTAATAAGTTTTACTAAATAGAACCTATTTCAGTTAATTGGGTGGCTTTCTCTTTTTCAGTTATTTCCTGTTTGTTTCGCTACTTCACAGATTAAAACTATCGTAACAGACTTATGTAGATATGAGTGTATGGAGCACCGAATTATCCGGAAACATTTTAGACTTGTTTTACTGTGGACGAGAGAAAGAGGGAGTCAGATAAAAAAAATTATGACCATCAAAACAATGCTCCCACTACGAATAATTTCCTGTTCCTTAAACATCTTGCCGGTCTCTCCTATTCGACCCGATCAAATTACATGAGACCATTCGTATCAATTCTGCCATTCAACGTTAGACCGAAATAATGAATATCTCGGAGAGGAGGGTAAAAATAAGTTGCCACAAGTTTAGAACAGCATACTCTCACGTTTTGGCCTAAATATCCAAGAAGTTCCGATTGAGGCTCTAATATATAGGACATATTCCTCATAGGAATAACTCTGAAGAGACGACCTGTTGCCATCAAGATATGAATGAGTGCCCAATACTCGCAAACAAATAGTCTGTAGACAGGCTATCGCCATGCGCGTCTAAAAAGCCACGACTGAAACCTCAAAGGAATACTAAAATGCGCTTGGCTAGTCCGTGGAAATTTTCTCATTCATTCTACGGAGGGGTAGACGGAAAGGGGAATCGAATACTGTCAATAATGGATTGACTCTAGGTGTTATTGCTCTACACGGAAAGGGAGAATTTCCCACTGGTAATCTCAGTAAGGAACCTCTTGGGTGGTAGGGGTTACGATACTTTTATCTTCGCGGTTTTTTTTCTTTCTTGTTTGAGTGTTTCTCTCAAAATTCAATTTCTCCATTTGGAAAGGGGTGAAGGGAAAGCCCGTCCATTTTTTTCTGTCGGCACTTTTTTAGACCTGGACTCTATTAGAGGTGGGAAGTGGATTTCGTAAAAGCAGAAATAATAGAAGATAATCTACTCATTTATATAAGAGTGATCGCGCGCGCAGGTATCTACTCACTCGCAACATGGCAGCCCATGGGTGGAGTAAACAGGTACCATAAATAACTCAAATCTTCTGTAAAAGGCACATTGCAAACTTTTTAATATGTTTGACAATTAGAACAAAAAGAAAATTGCTTTTTGATATCTTCTTATGACTCTTTATGGAAAGGTTCTGATTAACAAGTGCCCTCAAGTAAAAAAGGAGAAGACTAGCTGTTACGTTTGGAAAATGAATCCAAAGAACATCAAAAAAGAAAATACATTGCAAGCATATCAGCACTACAGGATGAAAGTTAGACAAAGACGAAACCGGCAAACAGATAGAAAAGAAACGCAGAGGAGGACAATCAGAGATGGAAAAGCAGATAACAAAATGTAAGAAACAATGGGACAGACTGACAGACAAAACGGACAAGCGGAAAGATACAGAAATGATGCGCTTTGAAAAGAGCCGGAAGCCTTGTTACATCAACCATACACTCAAAAAAATTGGGAACGGAATAAAATTGTACCGGTTCAGGGTTTCATGAGTGTTCACATAAAGTAACATTTTTATGCATGAAAATAATCTTATCCTATGAACAAGTATCCAAATGAGATTGCTAACCTCAGGGTGTATACATCACCCTCTCACTGTGATAACCCTGTGCGACAACGGCGAGAAAAGGTGGGCTATGGATCGATGGGTCATGAATATAAATGACACTCTCTCGTGCAAGGTTCAGCGACTCGTTGTTGGCGACTCGTGGCCGCTCACGGTGAAAAACAGCGCTGCATTACTCTCCTGAGAAGCTCCAGCCTTTTGTCAACGCAGTGGTGGTTCCCAGAAAAAGTTTCCATCTCGACATCTATCTATCTATCTATCTATCTCTCACTATCTCTCTCTCTCTCTCTCTCTCTCTCTCTCTCTCTCTCTCTCTCTCTCTCTCTCTCTCTCTCTATCTATCTATCTATCTATCTATCTATCTCTATCTATCTATCTATCTATCTATTGATCGATCTATTTGTCTATCTACCCGTACATCAATTTTAGTATTTACCATAGGAAACGTATCTATTAAAGCTCTCCAAGTTATACACAGTTTTACCTGAATTTTTCAGAGCGACAGTACGGGTCAGTACGGGACGTGAATTGACGATGCACGTGTAATGACCGAAGTCGGAGGGTTTGACATCTCGGAGCTGAAGACTCCACTCGGTTCTGGAGCCGTGAACCACGTCAAAGCGGCGGTCACCGTTGTAAATCTTTTTCCTCAGGCTGACTACCTCGTTTCTGTCATCTTTCCACAACACCTGAGGGGGGGGGGGGGACAAAATCTGTGTGTTTAGACATGAAGGTTGTTGGAAACGCTCGTAGAAGGCCCAGTTTCTCTGATTTCCCTCCGTTGTATCTGTCTCTCGGTCTGACTTATTTTTTCCCTGCACTAAATGACCACTGTTGAGTAGATATCGTTATCTTTATCCAAACAAACAATGTTGTGACACGTGTATGTGTTCGTGTCTTACTTTATGTATGTGAGTGTGTGTTTGTGTGGTGTGACGAGTGTGTGTGTATGTGTTTGTGAGTTTGTATGTGTTTGTATGTGTGTGTATGTTTGTGTGTATATGTTTGTATCTGCGTATGTGCATGTATCTATGTGCATATGTGTGAGAGAAAGTGGTATTAAAAGTAAATACTATCAAATGAAAATATGTTCCTTTTGTGGTCACTTTACAAAGAAGGAGGGTTTAATTAATGAATGAATTAGTTCATTTATTTATTTTATTAATTTCTTTGTATCTTTTATTTTATTTTATTTTTATTTTTTTTGGGGGGGGGGGCGTAAAGGAAAATTATGATGGACGGCACAACAGGGGAGCTGTTGCTATTAGTTATTCTTTTAGCGCATAGGTGGTTTTGTGGTGGTGGTGGTGGTCTTCATGGTTGTGATGAAGTATTTGATCATCGAGGTTATGGATTTGGTCGTAAAGATTACGATGAGGATCATCCCAACACATCAATAAAACGCAACAACAAATCGGTAAATGAAAATGATGATCTATGATCTTGATTTTCTTTCCCATAAGTACTAATCAAAACTTTTCTCTTGACTACAAAAACATTAGTCAGACATGGCGGTGAAACCAGGCGCTCTTCAAAATAATGAAATCGACGATACCGGCAATTTTCTGTCGCTTTAGCAAACTTTATCGAATTTTTATCTTTTGGTTCAACACTTTTTATCTCCTTTCAAAAACACATCTCTGTGCTGATTTTTCCTCTTTTTTTAAAAAAAAACCTTGATTAAAGGCACAAGGCGTGTACATTTTCAGTTTCCAGGGACTCTGAAGCTCGAGAAGTGACCAAACTTTGGCAGCTATTTCCTTGATATTTTATCCACTGAAAAAGGGTGACCTCTACCTCTTTCAGTCGCAAATATCTCGACTTCTGTTAAAATTAAAAGGGTATTTTTCCATCAAAAGACTGACAGACGAAAATGTTTAAGATGATACCAATAACCCCACAAATTGACGAGCGCCTGAATCCACCACATCGTGATTTAGTCCCCTCGGGGACGTACTCTCATACCAATCTGGTGTTCAAGTTCTCCACGTGACAAGGCAGCAGCACGGTGTCTCCAACTTCTGCCATAACCTCCGTCTCTGTGGGGACTAGACGAGTGCTGTCTGAGCCTGAAAGATTAAAATTACTATTACTGGAATTGTTGATTTTTAATGACAAACCAGGAGATTCTGTCATTCACACTATTATTGTAGAAGATTAAATCTTTTGACACTGGATAAATTTAAAATTAAATCTTGTAGGGCAATTGACGGCCTCATAGGATTGACTTAGGGCGGAGGGAAAAAGAGTGTTTTCTGACTTTTAACCCCCGAACGCACCTGATCTTCTCCAACACCACACCAAACACCATCCTTTTCCCCCAATCCCCCGTGAATGCTTATCTTCTCTTGTTTGTCCAAATAGAAAAAAGGGAGACCTGACAAACATTCATTACACTATGACTCGAAGTTGTAATAAATCAACGTAATCAGCCCTCTCAAAAACATCACCCCACCCCTCACTCGACTCCCCCACCTCCCCCCACCCCACCCCAAAAAGGGGGGATATACAAAATTTAGAACCTTTTCAGATATCAACTTTTTTACATTTGTGATACTGGAAGCAGTTTTGTTTTTGTTTTTACTTTTTGGGAGGGGGAGCTGGGGGATCAATGCTTCATAATAGTATGCAGAGCAGTCAGACTTCAAAAAAGCCGTTCGGATTTTGGTCAATATTCTAAATTAAGTGTCTGAGATACTCATCATTTATAAAGATAATTTCATAGCTTCTTTTTTCTCAGATAAGCTTTCTCCTTGATTTGAGAGAACCGTCAATAGAATTGAAAATGAACTTCAAAAAAGGTGTCTTACAAGTTGAACAATCATTCGGATCGAGTGCAAAATCGTTAATTACTTATTACTTCTTCAAATTATCTCTCGTAAAAAGAGAGAAACTTCTTGTCCTTGTGAATTACTTCACAGATAAAACAGATTCAAATTATACGAGGCTTGTAACGGTTCAAAGTATCCACAGTTTTTAGTTCTAAACTTCTGATCCGTCGTGGACATGATTTGTCCAACGTTTTATCTCAAATACAACAAAATAATAATATAGTGTTTGTCGAAATGAACATGCACGGAACAAAAACAGTTACCCTGCCTTCCTTTCCTTAAATCATTAGGTGTATATTGAGAAGAAAAACGTCATGAGAAAGGAAGTTTCTAACAGAAGAAGAACAATAAGAAGATCAAAAACATCAAGAAGAACAAAAAGAAAAAGAAGAAAAAGAACAAGTATATGAAGAAGAAGAAGAAGAAGAAGAAGAAGAAGAAGAAGAAGAAGAAGAAGAAGAAGAAGAAGAAGAAGAAGAAGAAGAAGAAGAAGAAGAAGAAGAAGAAGAAGAAGAAGAAGAAGAAGAAGAAGAACGAAAACAACAACAACAACAGCAACAACAACAACAACAACAACAACAACAACAACAGAGCAGCAGCAGCAACAACAATAACAACAACAGCAGCAACATCAACAAGTAGAAGAAAAAGATATGACACTGATATGGCACTCAACTGGCTCTGTGTACTTTACAAAATAAGTAGCGACACACAGTCAGTTCCCTGTATACTGATACAAAATCCTCATCTCTTTAATCTTGAACAAAGATGACTTGAGCTAACTTTTAAATGAACTTAACGATTTGATCATTATTCATGAGAATTACCTCAAGAACATTTCATCAAAAAGGCTGCATTATTCGAGAATGTAATTGGGGGAGAAGTATACACAGTCTGGAGATAGCTATGCAAACATATTGTAAGAGGGAGTCCAACGAGCTAAAATCGCATTCATTCTCTGAAAACCACGTATACGCAAAAACTGCTGCAACAAAGGGATTGCTTCTCTCCTATGTAACAGACGTATGAAAGGATTGATATACGCCCGCAATTGATTTGATAATAGGATCCGTCTAGACTCCACACATCACGTGCTTCTTTTTTTTTCTTTTTTTTTTTGAGGGGGTGGAAGATTTTTGCTGTTTTTCGGGGGTCTTTATATTTCTTTTTCTCTCTTTTTAAAGAAAATAAGAATTCTCTATTGCGTACTCGCTATGATCTAGAGCTGCTTTGATTTATTCTAATATTGGTCTCGACAGAGTTTGTTTTTTTCTTCAAATCATTTGACTTTATAATTCGAAGGGCTACGTAACAGATAAATAAAGTAAGCGTCACTCTTGATAAGGACGATTTAAGTTACTTGTCACGTTTTAACTATTTCAAAAACTAATTCGATATGATCTACGTACTCACTAAACGTAAGGTTAGTTGGGTTTTGTGTATTCCGCCCACGCGCCAGTGTGTATATGTTTGTGTGTGAGTGTATATATATATA